TGGGTGGGGTGGGGCCCCCTGGCAGGTGATGGGGCAGGGCCAGCCTTCAAAAATGCCCTGCCCCAGGCCGGTGAGCGGGCCAGGGCGGGGAATGGGGCCAGAGGCCTATGTTATTCAGGACTCCAGAGGCCCCATAATGAACTCTAATCTGTATCAATGGCAGCTTGCAAGTGCTCTGGCATGCTTTGATTAAGATTTCAAGTCTGGTATCTGGAATGGAATCTCAGACCATATTCAGAGCTACTTGTAAAGTTAGTATGTTTCCAATCTGGCTCCATATTTTTCCTAACTTATTCTCTATATCTAACTACAAATGCTCATTCAAGTTCAAGTCTGATGATAGGGCTAGCCATCATATAATTTCTATATGATTGCAATTACGATACTAAGTAGAAAAGCTCTTATGTTTAAGTGTATTGTTTTTAACTATAGTTACTCAACTATAATTGTTAAAACAATGATATTAGAAAAAAACAAGATAATATATTATCCTGTGAACATATAGAGCTGAATTAACTTTTACTTTAGAAGGAATAAATACCAGTTTGGACTCCATGGTACTAAAAAACCTATCCTACTCTATTTGAGATTTATATTTGAACTCAAAGATCTTACCAATACAATTAGCATAGTACTCCTCACTGGTCTTTCTTGTAATCTGGAGCTAATTTCTGAAGCCAGCAGTTGATGTTAGACATGGTGAGATGCTGCTCAGTATGCTTACATCTTTCCCTACCACTACTACTTCCTATTCTCCTATCCCCTCCCCCCATTCTTCTTTCCCCTTCCCATCGATTGCAGTTTTCTCTTTTTTTTTCCTTTCCCTGCCCTCTCCCTCCTCCATCTCTGAGGTTTGCTTGTTTGTTTTGTTTTTAGTAGAGTGCTTTGACAGTACCTAGGGAGAGTATATAGTAGGAGAGCATGGAAGATTATGGGAAGGTATTGGCAGGAAGGTATATGGAGGCAGAATACAACAGAAGGAAGTGCAATAGGCAGAGTGTGCAGTTAGAAAAGTATGTGGCAGAGGAAAGTGTATAGTGGAAAGAGCATGGTACAGGAGAGTGTTGAAAATGGTGAGATACTGTTTGGCATACTACTCATACCTTTTCTCCACCTCCACTATCCCCACTCTTCCTTTTTTTTTGCCTTTTCTCCTTTTCCCATTTCTCCTCCATTCCCCCTCCTTTTCTTTAATTTGTTCGATTGTTTGTTTTTTAAGGAGAGTAACAGAAGAGTGCATAGCAGAGTGTTAGGGAGCATACAAAGGAGTATGGCAGTATGTAGGAGAGTACTAGAAAGCGTGTAGTAGAGGAGTACAGGAAGGATCATAGTAGAGAAGTACTGAAAGAAGTGCAGTGGAGAAGTATAGAAACTTGTCGTACTAGTAGAGGAATACAGCGGGAAGGTGAGAGCATGGGAAAGTAGAGCAAAGGGCACATGGTAGGAGCATAAGTTTGTTCTTTCTTTGTTAGCTTTTCTTTTTTAATTTGTTTCTATGTGGGAGATATACCTATATAAAGGGAGGAGGCCTGAGTTTATCTCTCCTTTGTTAGTTTGTATTTGTACTAACATGGAAAAAGAGGAGAACTTACCTGAAGGAAGGAGAATATAGTTTGTCATTGTTGCTTATAGAAGATATATTCTCTTACTAGTATGTCAGCCATTAGTTAGTTGTATATACAATAGTTAGGAAAGAGGAGGTGAGTGTAACCGGAGCTGGTACTCGGTTAAAGTTAGTTTGTTTTATGTTTTGTTTTAAGTATCGGTTGATACTTAGTTTGTTTTATGTTGTGTTTTAAGTATCGGTTGATACTTGGTTATTTTTATGTTTTGATTGAGTAAGAACATGAGTGAGAATTCATGATCGTACTCAAACACATGTACTTAAAAAGACTACTGTTTTCCACTCTGGAAACGGCAGACTTCGACAGATAGTATTCTAATATACTCGGTTGAACGGTTATCTCTATTCTCCTATTACACCACCGAAGCCTCCCTTAGCGAGCCCAGACTGTTACTCTCCAGCAGAAAAACACTCGGCTCCTATTGTATACAGCAGCGTGACTAGCGCCCCGGCGTGAACACGTTACATTTTTTTAACCTCAGCGAGTGGTTAGAACACCACAACGAATCTGGGCCTGATCAACCTACGAAGATTCAGCTTATCGAATGGTACCGGCAGAAGCGGCAGACCTTGGGGTCAGCTCCTGCATCACAAATAAGTGTGACATAGATCCACTTACAACTCGAAGTAGGAGACAAGTCCCACGAGAAGGCCTAACCCAAAGAAAAGGGAAGAAAAGTGCCACACCTGGTGAATTCCCAGAATCACCTGTGAAGGAACGCAAACCGCAACCCCCACCACCACCATCGCCGCCCCCTCCCCCATCAAGCAACCCTTCAGATAGGAAAACACAGCATGTCTAGTAGTGGAACACCCGGCCCTGGGCCACCACCACCCGACCCACCAGCAAATGAAAAACCAAAGATAAAAATCCCGCAACCTAAGTCGTTCTCAGGAAAAGGAGAAGACCTAAGACCAGAAGCCTTCGATAGATGGCTTACTAGTGTACGACAGTACCTTGCTATACATGGAATAACCATGACCGATTATGGATCAGGAGTTTATTTAGGAGCATTTTGCACGGATGAGGCTATAGAAGCCTACCAACAATGCATAAAAGAGTACCAAGAACCAGACAGGGTCAGAGCAATAACGGTAGCCGGCTATCTACAAGATCGATTCCAGTCATCACGGAACAAGGACGAACTATTCGAAAAATTCAATGCAATATCCCAAGTGGCCAACCACAATACGGAGAAAATTACCAAAACTGCTACCACACTGCTCATGTACCACTCCCGACTCCCAACAGGAACGATATCAACCTTCTCCCTGAAAAAACAATTCTACGAAGCTATGCACTCAAAACTGCGCCAGGTAGTGGAACCACAGGAGTTACCAACTGATGACATAAACGCAATAATCAAAAGGGCAGAACGGCACGATGCTATCCTGTGGGACATAGGAGCTTACCGAAGACAACACCAACAGACCAGAGGAATAGAAAAACGATACACCACATCTGCAAGTAAGCAGAAAAAGGAGCGGACAACAAGCAAGGGCAACCAGCGACAACGGCAGCGAAAGGAAAACAATGAGTGTTTCGAATGTGGAAAGAAAGGCCATTATGCAAAGGATTGCTACGCGAAGAAAAACAAAGGCAAATCAGTGAAAAGGGAAGTTACAACAAACATTCTCGAAGAAGAAATAGACGATCACCTTGAAGAAGTACACATCAATTCGGTAACGGCAATAATTAACTGCTATAAAACCACCCCAGCGAATACAAAAATACTTCTCTTCCAATCGTTAGAAGGAACGGTAGAAATCAACGGATTCCCAGCAAAGGTCCTGTTCGATACCGGAACAATAGGATCCGATATCCTCAGCAACACATTTGTAGCCACACACGGCATAAACACCCAGTCCACCAAGTATCCAGTAACGCTCAACATGGCCATGAAAAGATCACGATCAACAAGCGACCGTCAGACGAACACCACAGTGCAGATAGGAAAAGCGAAATTCCCAAACAACTCCATGTTGATCGGAAACGTGGCAAAATATGATGTATTACTCGGTATGCCATTTATGACACGTCACAAGGCAACCATCAGCTGTGGCGACATGAC